TCACATACTTTGTAATTTTAATGAATAAGAATGTTTTGACAAGTTTTCAGCATTGTTTTCTATTGAGAAAAACACTGATGCACTGAGACCAAATGTGATGTGCATTCATATTTCATGACTGCCATTATACCTAACGAACTATGTAAACAGGCTGCCACTGTTTTTTCATATTTTGTTTTCTCGTATTTTACTTACTTTACCAACAGGATAAGCTGTTGGAATGGTTTGTAACCTCATGTCTTCTGAAGATGAAATACTGGATTATTATACAATTCAACGTTATGGAAACTCCATTCCTGGTGATATTTGCGTCATTAATGACAGAACTGATACAAGTTAGATTATTAATTCATTAAGAACAAATGTCAACTGAATTTCATTGTAGGTTTCAAGGTTTTTGCCTGTGTTCTATTCTGACCTCAAAAAGCACTGTAAAAAATTATGTCTATAATCTCACTTTGTAAATAACAGTAAAAAATATTGTCTAGTTTGATTCTGATGTACAGGTAAGCAACTTGATTCTATGGATGAACAGAAGTGTAGGTTCTAATGTATTTAGCCAGTGTTCAAAAAGAATCTATTGATAAACACAGTTCAGTACAATTGTTTCAGCTTGATAATATTAGAAGCAAGACTTTTTTTCAAGTTATTTTCCTTTGGAAGTTCTGTATCTATTACTCTCATCATATTCTTTTTGCATATCTTTTATCAGTATTACTTTGCTATTGTAAATCTTTTCAAAGTACAAAAATTCTGTAGTCAAGCCAGTCTTCCACTAACAGAAATGGAAAAAACCCTAAATGAATAAGATCAATCATTAACTTGATTACTGTTGTTTCATTCATGTTCCATATTTGAAGATAGCCATTTTATCAGCTCAGATACCAAACTGTAGTAGACTTGTTTGGTCAGTAAAAATTTTTTAATCTATTGTATTGACAGTCAAAATGAAGAAAGTAATAAATCTGATTTTTTTCAGTGAGCTAATACAGTTGAGCTATTATTGATGATTCCCTAAGAATCAGTCTTGTTGACTTACTTCATTGCAAGAGTTCCTTTTCATTTTTCTTTTGGAAGCATCATAAATACACCCGAAGATATGTTTCTTTATCTTCTACAGTATAAAATTATCAGTCAGGACATGCAAGTCTGATAAAAGCAGGAAAAGAAACACAGAACAAGGATCAAGAGTATAGAAGAAGGAAGAGATACACTATGATACATATAGGTAATATAATCAAGGTTCATACCAACAAAATTAAAGATATTTAATTGGTATTTTTGGTATAGAAAAAAAAAAGGTTGTGGTCAAAAAGTGTCAGGTAGACTCTAGCAGGCACAAATGCCTGTCTTCAGAGCTTATGGGGTTACACTTGGGATTGCTGCTCCTCCTCAGAGGAAGGCTAGGTTTGTTTTCTCCATGCTGGACAGGAGCGAGCTGACAGATGGCTCTTAGAGGGCAATTTCTAGAGGGTATAGATTACAGGATTAGGGCCTGAGCAACCTGCTGGAGGAGGAAAGAATCTGGAAGGGCACCAAGATGTGCACCAATGGGAGTACCAGCTGCAGTTACAGCAGCTTTTTAAAGAGCTGTTTTAATTACAAATCATTTTGGGATACACATTTGGTGTCCTTTCTAATAACTCAGCATGAGGTACAAGAAACATTGTGGCAAAGGTCAAGCTAAAGAGACTCAGAGCATGAAAAATACTGTGATTAGCATGAAAACAAAGCAGAACAAAGAAACAGAAGCAGACAGCATAGAGCTTAATTTCTAGGCAAAAAAATCCTCTACAGGCACAGAAGCAAACACCAAGTCTGTATTGAGAGCTGCCTAAGGGAATAAAGATGAAAAAAACAAAGGCAAAGATTTTGGTACTGTCTTACTGGGGAGAAAAAAAGGAAGTGATACCACCTCCAGGAATAATGCCTGAAGCACTGGCACACTCATGCGTGTCCGACGAATACTAAAGCCTATGAAAGACTGAGACTGTAAAGAAATAAAAGCCAGAAGTAGAAGAAATAGATCCATTACAAAATACACTCCAGCAGGCTAAGGGAATCCAGAAAGCAAACCAGAGACAGACCTAAAAAAGTGAACTATGAACTCTATTACGCAGCATAGAAATCAGAGGGAATTATGACCATTCTTTTGGAATATTCCAATGAGCTTGTGAAACTGAGTTTGCCCTAACTCAGTGCTGTCTCTGCCCTGGGATGGAAAGACAGCAATATGACCTGAACACCTACAATCAAAGAGTAGCATCTGCAGTGTGACTGTAGTTGATCCAAGCATTGCTCACACACTGCAGCAGACAGCATGTGACACAAGACTGATGAGTTTGCAGCTACGCTTTTACATCAAGAGCCAGCTAAACCTTCCTGTAGATTGCAGAACCATCTACATATAACCCCTGAGAAATAGCAGCAATATTGACTGGACAAATGTGCTTAAACTATTCTGATGTCGTGGTTTCAGCCCAGCCGGTAACAAAGGACCACGCGGCCGCTCGCTCACTCCTCCCGCCCCCCCCTCCGGTGGGATAGGGGGGAAGACGGAGGAGAGGAAAAAAAACAAACCTGGAACCTCGAGGGTTGAGATAAAGGCAGTTTACTGGAACAACACAAAGAAATTGCAACAACAACAACGGTACTAATGAAAAAGTATACAAAAAGAGTGATGCACAGTGCAACTGCTCACCACCCGGGACCCGACGCTCTGCCACTTCCCCCACCGAAAAGAAGAGCCCACCCCCCGGCCCGCTCCCCCTTTATATACTGAGCATGATGTCACATGGTATGGAATAGCTCCTTGGCCAGTTGAGGTCAGCTGCCCCGGCTATGCCCCCCACCTCCCAGGTTCCTGTAAAAAAAAAATTAACTCTATCCCAGCTGAACCCAGGACATCTGACTATTGGTGAAGCCTAGTATTTTAAATGTCTCATCCCCTACAAGTGATCTTTCATGTAAGGAAAATTTGCTACAGTTCTTAATTGCTCAGCACAAGTAGCAGATGTCTGCTTCTACAGTCCATAGGTCATAACCTATGTTTACATCATTCCAATGCTACATAACAGAAATTTGGGGATTTTTTTTCCATTTCCTTTTTTCTTATGTAGCAAATCATACACAGTGACCTTAAAAGAATGTTATTAAAACTACAAAGTCAAGTATTCTGGAGAATGACAAAATTAAGGTCACCTGTGATACAAATCTCAGAAGATTCAGGAGTTTTTAAGTGAATAGGATGTTTTTAATTTTTTTTCATAGAAAAGATGTTCATTATTTCTCATGTTAGGAATGTTTCTTGGTAAGCTGAAGTTACCTTTCGGTAATATTTGACCTAACTTTTCATTTGGTAGGAACGTCAGCATGAGGTACATCATTATGCCTGGTTCAAAGATGCATCATCAGGATACAGCTGATGACATTTCTATGGGAAAGCTGTTGACCAAAACACATGATACCAAAGGATGAATATTTGTAATAAATGCAAAGAGCAAAGAACTAAGCTTAACAGAAAAAAGTTCAAAGGTTGAGACCTTCTGTCACATGTTATCTGACGAACTCCACATGGGAACTGAAAAGTAATGAGGAGCTGTCCAAGACAAAGTGCATGAAATCAACTCACCAGTTTATAAAACTGCACGAGTACATGCTCTGAAAGCTGCCTACCCTTTAGAATTACTGACACATCTTGAACACATCAGCGACCTAAGTGGAAGCATTTGACATGGCAAGGAAAAAGCTTAAGCTTGGCCCTAGTCTTAAATTCATTTAGTTTTCTGGAGCAAGAAGAAAAACAGCACAGCTTACAAGCAGGCACCAAGGGACACACACGCCCATAGTACTTTTCAGTAGGTTCATAAAAGGCTCACACAGGAGACGTGTTCAGGCACAATAGGAGCTGGTGACTATAGTCTTCAAAAGGGAGTAAGTTCCTTATCTTTAGGCACAAAAAGAAAAGGCGACCTAATTACAGGTGATTATTTTTATCGAGGAAACCAGTTATGCTTGCAAACAGCAAACCAGCATCAATACATGGAAATATGCTCCTCTCTGAGACAGTCATCACTGATGACAAGTACACAGAGCAGGAAATAGCTTCCACGGTTCAGGGCAGATTCTGAATCTTCACTAATCGAAGCCATCAGGCAGCTGGACAAAGGTGGTGACAGGATGAGTTAGTGGAAATAAAAGAATCATACCAAGCAGTTCAATAGATTGAAATAAAAATCTGACGATTCATCGACTGAGGGATGTATGCGCCACAAGTGAGGCTATAGCAAGGCATCTTGACAACAGATCTACTTTCAGATCGCCCTCTCCTCCCCACCAAGGGTGGCCCCTCTCCCCAGCTCCCCCCTTTGCTCTCCATGACAGCTCTGTCCTGCAGCCACCAAGGCCTGAGGCCACCCTCAGCCCACAGCTCGGCACGGCCCCCACCCTGCCCTCCCGGCAAATTCAACAAAGCCCAGCGATTCAAGCGTGTTTTTGGCAGGCGGCTGAGAGAAACGGCTGTTGTTACACCCCCCAGGAGCCTCCCAAGCTGAAAGCGAGATGCGAGGCCAGTGTTTTCTCCTGCCAGCCGGGTCTGTTTGAGGGATGGACGAGGTCAGGGTAGGGCTGCCTTACACCTCTCGACAGAGCCACGACAAACACGTATGCTCAAGGCCATGGCTAGATCTGCTACCGTTGCTGCCTCAGCTCTGTAAAAATCGAATTTAAAGCAAGTTCTCCAGCGTCTGGCAAGGCCGAGGGAACTCCGATACGTGACTAGGCGCCTGGCGTGGCTCCGAGCAGGGGCACTACCCCTCCAAGCGCCGAGAGGCCCCTGCGAGCCACTGCGCCGGCAGCGAACGAAAGGTGACGGGCACGACGGAACACCGGCAGGCGACGGCCCCGCTCCCCGCCCTGAGGCGGCGGCGCGGAGCATGCGCAGAGGCCAATTCCCCCCTTCCGGCAGTGCGGCGGCCGGAGCCTGGCGGAGGAGGCGGGGTAAGATGGCGGACGCGCTGCCCGCCGCCCGCTGGGTCCGCGCCGCCGCAGCCCTGCTCCTAGGGTGCTGCGGCGCAGCGCTCGCCGGCGGCATCCAGGTACGGAGAGTGGCGGGAACGGCCGGCGGGGAGAGCGGGCGGGCGGCGCTGGGCCGCGCCAGCGTTCCCCA